GCTTAAACACACAAACCAGAAGTTGTTAAAATTCAGATGGTGACGCACACTCAAGTAGCTTGTTATGTTCAGATGCACCAGTTGGCCTCATAGGTGCTCGAACCCATGTCTGTGTATACATACTGTTAACGGGAACATTCTGCATCCCAATGCTTACAGGTTCACATAACACGTTTCCATGCACAGGAGGAGCTAAATGCTCATACTCTATGTGACTAATAAAGGTGGAAGCCACACACACACACACACACACACACACACACACACACACACCGTCTATGGGCACTCTTCCCACAATGCCATACCCTGTCCTCCCATCTAAGCTTCCTCCTTCCCATAGAACGGAACTACTTCTTTCCAGAATTGAGCACAAAGACCCGGCCTCAGCAGAACCCGCCTTAACCCCAGGCCACCATTGGAACACTCTCCGCATAGCCTGCATTCACTTTTGCCCAAAGGTCAGAACATGTAGAGGCCAGAGGGTAATGTGGGTCCCTTCTTCTGTCACCCCCTCCCCCATGCTATTTTTCGAAAGAGGCTCTCTGCCTGAACCTGGAGCTGAGCAGTCCTGCTAGACTATCTGACCAGTGAGCTCCATCTCTCTCTTGCTGTCCCTCCTCTGAGATTAGAGCTGTGTTGTCGGCCTTGGCTTTTACATAGGAACTGAGAATCTGAACTCAGATCCTTCATTCTTGAACAGCAAACATTTTACCCTCTGGGCATCTCCCCAGCTCAGGAACAGGGCCTTGGTATCTATAGGCCCCATTTTACCATACAGGGATAAGGGGAGTTTCATTGTTGTAGAATTATACTCTAATGAATTTAAAGCCAGAGAGAGGGTGAAGACAAAGGAAGATCCTGGTATCTGGGCATGAGTACCTGGAACAGGCATCCAGAGAGAAAGGCACAGGGCTCCACCTAAGGGACTCTGACAGGGGACTGCTAAGTGTTCTGGGTCAAACCTCTGTGTTCCGTGCGGCTCAGTCTATGCTTCTAAGATTTCCTGCAGTCCAGATTCAAGGGCCAAAGATCATCCACAGGTCCAGCAAGAAAAGTAGCCAAGATGACAGGTAAGAGGAGGAAAATGTCTGTGTGTCCCAGACGGGCCTGGGCGTGTCCCAGAAGGCAGAGATGAACACAGAAAGGGACTCCTAGGAAACAGGCTGAAGACAAGCCCAAAAAGGATGTGGGAGGGCAGTGACCTCGGTGGGTACAGGCACTGGCCCTGTAAGCCTGGTGACCTGAGCTCAATCCACAGAAACCCGGTGAAGGTGAAACAAAGGAGCAGACTCCACAACCTCCGTGTGCACACTCCACCCCACACACCATACACACTCAACGACAGTAAATATTAAAAATGCAAAAAAGAAGGCCATAAGGCAGAGGCCTGACATCCTACCTAACATGCTCTGCCAACCCCACGCACACACCACGAGCAAGAATAGGTGACTTTTCAGGCTGTAAAGGAGCTGACCAGACTTGGTGAGCCAGTTCCTAACTCTGAGAAAGCCCTGCGCCTCTGCCTGAAAGGGACAGGACCTGCATCCTAGGGCATGGATTTCTGGAAGGATCTCCCTCTGCTGAGGCCTCTCAGTCCCCTGGAGGGCCAGTCCCCCATTCCACTCCCGCACTCACACTCTCTCACACTCACACTCACACACACCCCTCTGACAGCTTCTACATTTGGAGCTGACAGATGTGCAAGGTAGCACTCGGCCCCGCCTGTGCAGCTGAGGCCCCAGCGTCGCAAATGAAAAGGGATTATTTCCAGCAAGTCTCAGAACGGCTGCATGAGCCGTGTGTGTGTGTGTGTGTGTGTGTGTGTGTGTGTGTGTGCGTGCACATGTGAGAGTTTGAGTCTGCAGCTTCTTCCATCGTCAAAATCTGTCTTACTGTATCTCCAGATCTTACTGCCTTCCTCTCTGGGCTTCCTCCACCATGGTTTTGCTGACCTGTCCGAGTCTTTGATGCTCACTGGTTTGGTTTCTGTATCTGAATTCTCCAGAGAGCAAAAGAAGTATTTCCTCTTCCCAACTTTGCCCCTCATGCTTTTCAGGTCTCAAGAAAGCCTTGGGGGCTGAGGAGCTGACTTGTTGGGAAAAGACCTGCTGTCCAACATTACAGCATGAGTTCAGATCTCCAGCAGTATTGGAAAAAACTAGGTGTAGTGGTTACACATCAGTAATTTCAGTGCTGGGGAGGTAGAGACAGGAGGATCCCTGGAGCCCTCTGGCCAGCCAGTCTCCCTCCTAGTCTAGCTGAATTGGTGAGCTGTGGGGTCAGTGAGAGACCATGCCTCAAGAAAGTAAGCAAAAGGAAAATGCCTGCCTTTGACCTCTTTCCTCTTCCCTGGTGTGTGTGTGTGTGTGTGTGTGTGTGTGTGTGTGTGTAGCGCTCACATGTGCATGCTTGCACATCACTCGAATATACACAACACATGCACACACAGAAGAAACAGCCAGTTTTCCCCTAGAAAACAAGACTTCTGTCCTGTCGTTTGCATGGGGCTCCTTTCGGGTAGGTGTGCAGTGGTTGGGATATCTGTTTCAGGGCAGGGAGAGCAAGCCTCCAGCCTTGGTCCCTGTCCTTCCAGCCTGTCTTCCTAATGAGCCAGTTCTCTCCACTATTCATCACACACTCGCAGGTAGATGAGCCCTCTCTCTCCTCCCAAAGTTTATGGTTTCCATCTTCAGATTCCCAACCCCCATGCTGACCATTCTGGCCTTGGACTGGCCTCAATCCCGACTCTGAACAACTGCTCCCCGAATTTCCTCTTCTCTGAGGGGCTGCCTCCTTAGGTACTGACAATGGCACCTGGATACCCACATAGTACAACTTACCTTTGAATACTCTGGAGCAAGTAGGGACAGACACATGGAGAACCACAGGGTTAGAGGAACAGTGGGAGAGTGATGTTTACTTATTTCCTAGGGGATTCGGACACACTGCCGCTGTCTGCTTTGGGGTGAAGGTGTGAAGGCATCCTTGTAGAAATGTCTCACAGAGGGCTGTTGGGTGGGGCTCATCCCCTTGAGGCAGGTCTGCACAGGCAGCAGGCTTCACAACCAGCCCTCTCCCGGACCACTAGCACGCACAAGCTTGATCACCCTCGTCGCCACCCATGCACTAAACTTTCACTAACCTCAGCAAATGGCGGTGGTGAGCTGGGTCTAGTCAAAGGTTATAGAATACAGCTTCTTCAGGCTGAGTTTGGAAAACACCAACCCTAGCTGCTGGTACAGCCTGAGCCGGACAGGCCTTAGCAGCCAGAATAAGGGACAGAGTCTTCTGAGGCTCTTGAGAGCCTGCCCTGGCTCTGGGAGGAAGTGGAAGCCAGGCCCCTTTTCCTTTGCTTTAGGGGAAGCAGACATAGGTACTAAGAGACTTTAAACTGCTCTCAGGTCTTTTAGCTGAGGGGTAAGAGCCTCTGGGGAGGATTTATGATGTAGGTTTCTCCAAACCAAGGAAGGAATTTCTCCTCCCACCTCTTCATTGCATATTAAGCCCAGCCTCCTAACTTCAGCTAGTGCTATTAGGCATGAAGGTTCCATTTTATTTGGGGCAAACGTTAATTTCTGGAAAGGAAGGTAACTCAGGCCTCCAACAGTGGGCTGCACTATGTCTGAGAAGCCCAGAACCTGTCCCTGCCTCCAAACTACAGAGAGGAAGACAGGGAGGGCAAGGACAGCTTCCTCTCCTCTCTTCAGCAACTCCCTCACTTAACCCCTCCCTCCAGCTGGCCCCAACAAAGGATCAAGGTTTCTCCCACTAGTTTTCCAGCATATTCTCGCGGGGCTTCCAGGCTCATGACATCCAGTCACTGAGATGAAATCCATGTTGGACAGGTGTCACCATGTGAGAGAGATGGCGCCGGTGAGAGAGATCTCATCATGTTGGACAGATGTCGCCGTGTGGGACAGATGTCACCGAGTGCTGCCCCTTCTCCAGTGGATGGGAAAGGCTCATTGCTTACTTCCCTCATCCTGGGTGAAGGACACAACTGGGCCCTCCTAGCATGTTCACAAGGGGTGTGCACACAGGCCACATGAGTCAGAATTGCTGCACACATTAGCATGTAAGACCATGTTCTTTGGGAAGGATGTGGGTGGAGGCCAGAAAGCAGAGTCCCAAGGTGCCACTCCTTGAGGTGAGACATGGGACACAGAGGGATGAAGCGCATCCTCGAAAACTGATCCAGAGACAGGGGCTGAGGAGCAGCTGACATCTCCAGGCTTTGCTGACAACGGAGCCCCTTCAGCTTTGGTGTGGGGCATGTGGGCACAGTCATGGGGGAGGTTCCTGACCACACTGACCTCAGCTGGTTCCACTCCTAGGCAGAGATACCACAGCTCTGTGGGGATAAGCCTGGAGTATTTCCCTCCCTAGTCCCTCAGGGGGCAGCTGCAGGTCCCCAGCTCAGACTACTAAACAGAGACAACAACAACCCAGTTCAGTGACAACAAAGACAGGAAAGCCCTGTTTGCCTTTTGGCTAATCCGCAGCCCTGTTCACCCGCGCAGCTGGACTCTGCAAGTGCAGGCAGGTATTTCTGTGTGCGCTTGCATGTGCTCTTGTGTGGGTTAGTTAAGGCCAAGCTAAGAACTCCAGGAGACAGATGGTTAGACCCTGGAGGGCAGTACCAAAGCCCCAGGGCTGAATGTTCTGGAGACACTGAAGCCAGGGCTGGAATTGATGCTGGGGAAATCCCTGTGGGCAGAGATGGTCGTGGGTCACTAGGGAAGCCTTGGGGCCTGTCAAGGAGAGTGGCTCTATCCCTTTCTGCCCTTCCTCAATTCTCTGAGTTCCTGTGAGTCTAGAGGACAGACCACTTACAACACCCTGAAGCCTCTGTCCTTGGAAGACACGAGAAAGTCTTGCCACCTTGTGGAGGCATGTGGTATTTCTCCCTGTACTTCTGGTCTATCAAAAATAAAAGAGGCAAAGGGGCTTTCTCAACCGGGGAGCATGTAGTGTCAAACATTTGCAAACACTAGGCCATGCACAATGACCCTTTTGGACGGGTGCAATGCTTTATTTAAGTGCATTGTAATATACAGTCATTTCAGAGGCACAAGAGCAACTTGCTGTGGGTTACCAGCTGGTCAGTGGAGCAGAAGTCTGAAGCGGCCATTTCCATTCCAGAGAGGGTAAAGACTCCACTGGGAAAGGTGATAGAAGTTACCCCCTTCCACCTTGGGGAATCCTCAACAGTTGTGGTATTCCCTGCAGAAAGGGCAAGCAAGCCCCACCTTTTCACGCTGCACAGCCCCAATGCGCCCTCTGCTGGGCACAAGGAGGACCAGCGAGTTCTTTTAACACAAACAGAAAGGTGGGCTAGAGGTCACCACAGGAGCCTGGGCCTATTTACAGAGCTTCTGGGTTGGCAAGGGGTGGAACTAGAAATCCAGGTCCTCACTGATGAGGGCTGTCTGCTGTGCATTGGGCGCTGAGGATGGATACTCACCGGCTAGCTCTAGGACCCTCCAGAAAATGGCAGGAAAGGTGAGTCAGTGTGGACAGAAGCATGACAAAGGCACAGGCGTCCTGGCATTTCTACCTGAATGACTTTGGACCTATAATAACCACTATGTGGGCCTCAATGAAAGGAGGCAGACAGCTGCCTGGCAATACTCTGGGAAGAGCAAGCAGTGACACGCTCAGGACACCCTAGCTAATGACCTCTAGAAGAGGACAGCAGGCATCCATGAAGGGCAACACGCACTCTACTGCTCCTGCCTTACAACTATGTATTTGGACCAGAGTCGGGGGAGAAACGGTGGGTGTCAGAGGAAGACGGCAGCAGAACAAAGATGGGAAGTTCAAGGACCATCGCCGTGATGCCCTCGGTCCTCTTTCTGCATCAGGGCACACCCTCTTCACCCCACAGGCAAGACGCTCAGCCTCCTCTCCAGTGTCTCAGCTTCTCCTCCTCTTCCCGGCTCTAAACTTCTCTTTCTGGGGATACCAGCACCCAACAATGCTCTCTCTAGCCCCCTGCAGAAGCCTTCTGATGACTGATGATGCCAGCCACGCCCTGCTGGCTGGGTCTGAGGGCTTACGTTTGTGTTAGGCAGGGCTGGGGAGGGCACTGTGGTAGGACACGGACTTTAACTGTCATAGAAGTCTATGTGAGCTCCAGACTGGAAGGTGTCCTTTTGCAGCAAGCTCAGTAGCTTCTGGGCTGATGTCCCACAATCCACCAGCTCCCCATTCGACTTCAGCTTCTGCAGTCCGTTTCTTAACTCTGGGTCCTTGGAGGTTTCTCGAGCCAACTGCTGCATGTCTGTGTCCAGGGGACCTAGAGGACAGAAAGTACAAGAGAAGGACAGAGGTTGTAGCTCCCCGCTGTGTGGAGGGTGCAGCCCAGTCAGGTCTGGCCTGAGGTTCCATTATGTCGCCTTTTACATCTTTTTCTTTTTTTCAGTTATGTTCTCTCTATGGATTTCTCTCTTGAAATACAGGCTCCTCCTACCTTAGCCTCTCTAGTACTGCGATTATAGGTGAGGGCCACCATGACCAGCTCACATTACTACTGAGTTTTGGACTCAAAGCTAAAGTCTGTTAAGCATGGTTTAAAATCAAGATCACCCTCTCTGGTCCATGTAACACCTCTTCCCAACTTTCCTACTTGTATCCGTACATACATGGACCCTGCAGGTTCCCTACTCCTCCGACGTCCAACCAGGGCCCATGTGAGACATCCAACACGGTCTCAAGCAGGTCCATGCCATAACTTTGCTTTTCTCTTTTCTTTAACATGTCCTTTAGTTCTCTGATAAATTCATCTGGCTGTACTTTGCTGGCTCACACAGCTCTTCAAAGCCCCCACATGGGGGCTCAGTTGATAAAGTACTTGATATACAAGCATTGGGACCTGAGTTCAGATCCCCAGCAAAAAGCCAAATGTAGGGGATTAGAGAGAGAAATGGCTCCCTGTTAAGAGCACATGCTGTTCTTGCAGATAACCAGGGTCTGAATCTCAGTACCAACATAGCAGCTCACAACCATTTGTGGCTTCAGTTACAGGAGATATGATGCCCTCTTCTGGCCTCTGCTGGCACTGCATGTGATGAACAGATATACTTCAGGCAAAAATACCCATAGACATCCCCCACCCTCTCATATCTCTCAAGACCTGTAACTCTTTAACAAGTTTTCTCACCCTTACTTGAATTTGTGGAGAATCTCTCCCACGTGATAACAAACAGCCCTCAAGGAACTGTGCAGCCTACCACATTTTTAATGGTGGTCAGAGACAGAAAAATCGTGGAACCCAGGGCTCAGAAAAAAAAAAAAAACAACTTTGCCACGCCTGTAGTTCCTACACGTCTCTTCGTGCCTCTAACTTGTAGCCTAGCCAGTGCTGACCTTGCACTCCGTTCCCACACTTCAAGCAGTCTACCATGTCCAGTTTCATCTCCTTAAGGGAAAGGTTAAACAGACCTTTCTGTTTTTGGAAACCTGCTAGAACATTCTTCTGGAGACTGAAGTGAAAATTGGAGTGTTTCTGTTTGTCTTCAGGCAGCGGGGGATTCCTAGGCTCTCAGGTCCTCCATGACATCTGAGGCACCTATCTTAGCTCTGTGCCCATCTCGAAGCAGCTCCTTGCCCCCAGCTGTGCTTTACAGGTGATCACGACTGTCTGAATGAGTCTCGGCTGAGCTCAGAGTAAAACAAGCAATATCACGTGTGTGTGTGTGTGTGTGTGTGTGTGTGTGTGTGTGTGTGTGTGTGTGGAGGGCAAGGACTAGGTCACATGAGGAGACCCAACAAAGACCAAGAAGTTAGAAGCCAGTTTGGATCCTGGTCCTGCCTCACTCCAGCATTAGACAGACCGTTTTGTCTCCCTGTCTCCGGGCTCCTGACCTAGTCCAAAGGGGTACAGACACCTCCATCTCACCCTTGAGTTTTCCGACAATCCACCACATATTGCTACCTTCTAACCACAGAAATCACAAGCCTAGAAGAAAAACCCCAGCCCTGTGGCATCTTAAGAGGCTAGTCAGACAAGACAAGGAGTCAGAAGACCACACACCCTGGAATTTTCATGAGAACCGGTGTGGAGGGCCGGACCACATTCTCCATTGCTTCTAGGAACAAAGGTAGAGATTGACCTCTGTGACCCCAAGGTGTGGCGGCACACGCCTTTAGTCCTGATGCCTGGGAGGCAGAGACAAGCAGATCTCTGAGTTCAAGGTGATGTAGCACACGCCTTTAATCCCAGCGCACGTGCTTGGTAACTCTCTACCGCTGTGTCCCTGCCTACTCCCGAGGCATCATCTGGGATAATGGGCAGTGAACCAATCAAAGAGTGACACGTCCAAAGCAGGGTCTGTTTCCTATATAAGGGATGGGTTCCATCTTATCTGGGTCTCCGCCATGTTGGCTGATGCCCGCTCTCCCAAGGGGCATTAAAGCTTTACTGCAGAAGAATCCTATGTGTACCGCGTGGTTCTTGCTGGCGAGACGGTAGCGCGGGACATCTGGTGCTGATACCCGGGAAAAAGAAGAACTTTGCACCGCCGGAGACCCCTTGGACACAAGGAGGATTCAGAACTGCAGGCATGCAAGCTTAGAGAGGTACGTTCTAAAGTACAGAGAGCATATCAGAAACTGAGCAGCAGTGGGAGGTTGTGCGCGCACCCAGATAAGTTAAAAAATGACCCTCCGGTAAAGAATGGGGGAGACAGAAAAGAAAATAAGTTAAAAAGGACCCTCCGGTAAAGAATGGGGGAGACAGAAAAAAAGAAAAAATAAGTTAAAAAGGACCTCCCGGTGATTTTGGGAGAGTGGAGATGGGGGAGAAGGCTGATTTGCAGGGTCGAAGGCTTTGTGTTGTGTTGTTTGTGTTGTTTTTTGTGTACTGGACAGGAGAGGGATATTTGAATTTGGGAGCTGCTAAAAAAGGTAGTTTAGATTTAAGGCATGGGCTTGAGAGTGTGATGTTGTGGGGGAGAGGTTCTGTTTTCGTCTCCACGGAGGGGGAGAGCCTAAGGGTGTACTTGGGATTTATGTGGTTTGAATCACCGAGACCTCCTGAAATGTTGTAATGTATACCCCTAAAATTCAGCGGCCCAATAACAGCAGGAAGCAGCCAAAGAGACTAAACGACGCCCAAATTCCCTTAAAGATTAAATGAGGTCCTTTCAAGCCTGCTTCTCTGAGTTCAGCTTTGCTCCGTGCACCGGTTTGGGCTCGGAGTGGGTGCAGCTGGGGCTGGAGGGCGGCTGGAGCGGAGCTTTGCTCTGTGGCTATGGTGGGAGACATATTGCGCAGGCTCAGTTGGTGCCTGGCCTGGAGGGTATCACAGCAGTACCGAGAATGAGAACGGTGCCACAAGCTGCCAGGTCAGAAGGCTTGCAATGTGCCTGAAACTGTGAGGGGCTCTGAGGCTGGAATGGCTTCTGTTCCGCTTGGCTGAGCTGAGCTGTGCTGATCCTAGGTAACAGCCTGGGGCAACGGGCGGGACAAACAATGCTGGCTACTAGCCCGAGAGATTTTCCATCTAAATAAGAAACTGAATAGATAGCATAGGGGTTAAGAATGCTGCCTGCTCTTCCAAGGGTCGTGAGTTCAATTCCCCAGTGACCACATGACAGCTTACAACTATTTGGTTTTAAATCTAATGTTTCAGGATCCACAGGGAGGTAGATACAAAAAGCCCTTAGATTTTTAAAGTGATTGGGTCGTTGGCTGGATCTGTGAGAGTTTACAGCCGCTTTTGCTGTGGCACAGGTGTTGAGAGTTGGCTAGTAGGGAAGCGGCCCTGTTCGCCGCCTCTCCCATCGGCCCCTTGAGCCGCAGGCTCTGGCGCGGACCTTGAGATGTTGCCGCCTGTGCTGCCTCGGTCTGAGTGTCGGCTCCCGCCACACTCCGCCACCAACACAGCCTCAGAGAACTAGGCTAGCCCCGCAAGGAAGGCAGGGGCGCCTGGGGGTGGAGCCGCCACTTCCTGGCCTGGGACACACGGAGCCGCGCAGTGAACAGGCCCAGGGCCACACACAGCGCACACAGCCCTTGGATGGTGGGCGGGCTCTGGAGCCCGAGGCCACCATACTGGCAAGAAATACGGGAGCCAATAAATCTTAAATCTAATATCAACAAACAGGGCCTGCTGTAATGGCACAGACAAACAAGATCTGCTCTTTAAAACAGAGACCTGTAGATCTCTAAGTTCAAGACCAGCCTACTTCCAGTACTGACTGTGCTAAATTTTTACACTGAGTTTTTTAATACTCTTAAATGTTATTTTGGGAGAAGAGTTTATGTTTTTTTTTTCTAGAAGTACTACTATTCATGCTGTGGATTCATCTGTCCAGAGGCCTGAGGACAAAGCCTCTGCTATGGAGCTGTCTGGCCTGATTGCTGCGGAGCTGGCGGGTTCCTGAGGGATGGTCCAGCTCCTGCCCTTGGTCTGTCAGTTATTGCTATGTTGTTGTTGTACATTGCAATGTTGTTGTTGCTGTGCCATTGCTATGCTGCTAGATTTCCCCTTGTTTTGTCAGTTATTGCTTGCTATCAGTTTCCCTTATCCTGTCAGTTATTTCTGCTAAACACTATGGGTATCTTCAAGATAGGTTACAAAATGCCATGGTTATTTAAATTAAAAATTGGATAAATATCTATTTAAACAAAAAGGGGGGAATAATAAAGGAACTGCCCCCGATGCCAAGAATGGCCATCGCCATGGCTCTGTTCATTATAAATTTTTAAAATTTGGATGATAATGGCCAAAATGCTGCAACACGACATTGTTCGGATCCGCAGCGGCCCAAAGATTTGGTTAAGTGGAAAGATGTGCTTTCAAATGAATGGAAAGGCCCGGATCCCATCTTATTGAGATCCAGGGGAGCTGTTTGTGTCTTCCAACAGGATCAAGAAAGCCCATTCTGGCTGCCAGAGCGATTGACCCGAACAGTGAAGAGTGATCCACAACACACGGATTCGCCTGAGGACCTGGCTGCTGTTCCTCCTGCCATTTTGCAGATGGATGACAGAGCACCGATGGAGGACACTCTCAGCTTTCCCGAAGCTGTTACCAGTCAGCCATAGGATGGCGGTGTTTCCTTGACTTTTTACAACCAATATGACTCTGGGCCCCCTCCCCCTACCGTCCTAGAGATGATTTATAAGCTTGGCCATAGGATTACAGTCCTGGGTCGTATCTTTCTTCCCCTACTTCAAAGAATGGGTGGGGGTGGAAATGTTTTGGAACAGTCCTATGCTATGGATTAGTGTTTCTCCTCTGGATGGTCTGCTGACTCAAATCCCAAAATCGTAGGGACAAAGTGGTTATTGAACAAGCGCTGGCTGCCCTGGAACAGGGGGCCTCTACTGATGTGTGGTTATTTATGTTAAAGCAGTAAGGTTTAAGCCAACCAGCTCCTGCACCCCTAGGACTGTGGTCCATTGCACAGGGTGGAGTGCTTGGCTTAGCTAGCCCTAAAGGTTGTCGAGCTGAAGAGCATCGCACAGAGAATGGCCCTCTCTGAGAGATAAGTCGCTTTGCTTAAGGGTTTCCTGCCGTATATTCCCTTTCCCAGAAAATTGGCAGAGGGCAGGCCGGATAGGTTCCAGGTGTCATGAGCCTAGGGACAGATTCCGTGCAAGCCCATCGTAATGTTTTCATTTTGGGAAGTGCGACCTCTATCTTTACCTTCCTAGGGAGTTGCCTTTCTGCAAAGAAGTAAAAAAAGGGGGATATGTGGAGGGCCGGACCACATTCTCCATTGCTTCTAGGAACAAAGGTAGAGATTGACCTCTGTGACCCCAAGGTGTGGCGGCACACGCCTTTAGTCCTGATGCCTGGGAGGCAGAGACAAGCAGATCTCTGAGTTCAAGGTGATGTAGCACACGCCTTTAATCCCAGCGCATGTGCTTGGTAACTCTCTACCGCTGTGTCCCTGCCTACTCCCGAGGCATCATCTGGGATAATGGGCAGTGAACCAATCAAAGAGTGACACGTCCAAAGCAGGGTCTGTTTCCTATATAAGGGATGGGTTCCATCTTATCTGGGTCTCCGCCATGTTGGCTGATGCCCGCTCTCCCAAGGGGCATTAAAGCTTTACTGCAGAAGAATCCTATGTGTACCGCGTGGTTCTTGCTGGCGAGACGGTAGCGCGGGACAAACCGGGCCCTATCTTATTCATCCTGGCCCCTCTTTCCCACCCCATCAGTGTTCCCGCACAGTTCTGGGGCCGCTCACCACGCAACAATGCCTGCCTGCTTGTCTTTGAGCATTTATTGCGGCCCGCCTCCATGAAACTTTGTTGAGGATACATGGAGAAATAATACGTGGCCCTTGGGGGAGAAAAGCAGACAGCTAAACATCTAAAGGTAATGCAGTCTTTTGTTTCTTAACTTTAATTTATTTTTGTTTATGTGTATGGGTGTTCTGTCCCACCTGCTAGCCAGGCAACTCCCAACACTGAGTTCCTCTGCCCCTGGCCACTCTAACTACTTGGTGCCTGTATTTTCCCTGCAAGATGAGGAGTCATGATTGAGGGGAGCAATATATTCTTGGGATTCTTAACCAAGAATACAGACCAGGCTCCCCACCTTGCCCAGTCCCCAGAAAAGTACCAGCCAGGTCGGGAGGCATCAAGGGCAGTACCACCCACCTACCTGGAGCATAGCTTAGCACCCTCACGCCAGGTTCCTCAGCAGCTAGGACCTGGTACAACATGTCTCGGGCAGCCTTCCCGGCGCAGTACAGCGCCCAGCCCTTATAGGGCTGCAGGGCACACAGAGAGGAGATGTTAACCACCGTCTTGCTGAGGCCAGGGCTATCCGGGAAGGCATTCAGGGTGCCCGAGGTCAAGCAGAGCATGGAGGTCAGGTTCAGAGTCCAGTAATTGTTCACCTCGGCTGGGTCGGTCACGTTCAGGAAGCCTTTGGAAACATCCCCAAGAGAGCCTGAGAAAACAGGACCGAATAAATGACACAGCAGCAGGGGCTTTATTCTCAGTCTTTCACAGTCTCTCTTCATCTATTTTACCCACCTACCCCACCCAGCTCTGTTGATCCCCTAAAGCAAGCTAAGAATACACCTGTCTGAGTGCTCTTCAGAAAAGCAGAGGATTTGTTTAGAGAGCTGATGTCTTGACTCAGGCTCCCACCAGGAGGCACTGCTCAAGGCGGTCTAGAAAGTTCTATAGGAGACAACCAGGCAGTCTCCACTTGGACTCTGGACTTTCAGGTATTACCCAAACGGTGAGAGCCTGGAGCCCCAGTTTGGTCGGCGGTATCACCTGCATTGTTGATGAGCAGCAGGCGCTGCAGCCCCTCGGGCCTGGGGAGCTCGCGCACCGCGCACAACAGCTGCTGCACGCCGGCCTCGGTGCAGAGGTCAGCCGCTGCCCGCAGCACTCGCAGGCCTGGATGCTGTGTGCCCAGCTCCTCCTCCAGCTGCCGCAGCGCCGAGTCACTGCGTGCGCTCAGAAGCAGCACCGAACCGGGCGACAGCAGCCGGGCCAGCAGCGGGGCCAGGGCGCGGCCGAAGCCCCGGGAGGCCCCAGTCAGCACGCAAACGGTGAGGCCCAACCCGCCTCCCTCCATGCCTGGAACTCAATGGCGCTCACAGCTACTAAACCGGCACGGGGCGTGGCCTACCCTTCGCCTGGGTAGTGGAAGATTTGGCCACCACCCACCTGCCTCTGGATGAAGAGACCAACCAATTACCAGGGGGGCGTGGCCTGATAGGAAATCCCAGTCACCTTCCTAGAGCAGCCTGGTTCCCCCTTGAGCTACTGCCACAAGCTCAGCCCCTTTCTGGAACCACGTGTTCCAGAATTGGCTTCCTCCACCTGGGTTGGTTTGTCTTCATCCATACAGGGCATACCAGGAAAGGATCAGTGATGGCAGTGGATGAAGTCCTTCCTTGCCTGTGTAGTCTGGGGTCCCTTTGCGCCCTGGGTGACAGCAGCTTCCTTTGGAAGAGTATAGCAGCACCCCAGAAGAAAATGAAGAGGACACTGGGAAAGGCTGAGTGAGAATCGCAACAATCTCATAAACAAGATCTCATAAACCCTTCATGTTACAGTAATAACACACCTTGATCCCTGGGACCAGAGGACAGCAACCTTAGACTATAAACCCGTGTCATGCATGTATTAAACCACTTGATAATCTCAAATGGTAAAGAAAAATTTCCTTAGGAAGGCACAGTGGTACACCCTTGTAGACCCAGCACTTGGGGAATGTCGGAGGATAAGGAGTGTAAGAAACAGATTGTAAGGCTCCATTCTCAATCAGGTGAGGTAGTTGGAGTGACAAACAAGTTTAGGAAGTACTAAGCTCCTCTTCCCTGGCTAGTGCTAGCCCCTCTTTGCTTCAGAAAGCTACAAGTGGTTTGCTTGGTCTCTTAGCCAGATCAGAATAGGGAAGTCAGCAATCAGAAGAGGCCAGTCTCAAGTTCCAAATTATTTATTGGATGAGGATTTTGTCTAGGCCAATGAGATGGGAGAACTAGGGGTTGCAAGTCCTATATGCCTATAGAAGAGAGACCAGGAATGTCTCTTGATAGGTTTTTTAAAACCACTGTCATGCAGCAAATCAGTACCTTGGCCTTTTATGCCTTTCCTCTATGACAGAGTACCTTTCTGCAGAACTGTATATTTAAAACCACTTAGTTTTCACGAGTCTCTTGAGTTTATTATCTTATTTCCAATAGGAGTTGAAGGATCTTTCAGACTACATGATGAATTCAAGGCCAGCTGGGCTATATAAGACCCTGTCTCCAAACAATGAGGACACTAAGAGAGACTTATGTAATCTACATGGGAAGTAGAAAGTAAAAAAAAGACAAGATCTCCTGAGTAAATTGGGAGCATGGGAACCTTGGGGGAGGGTTGAAGGGAGAAGGAAAGAGGCGGTGAAGGGAGCAGAGGAAAATGTAGAGCTCAATAAAAATCAAGTAAAAAAAAAAAAAGACCCTGTCTCCATATCAAACACAATACAGAAAAAAGGGGGTGGGATGGGGAGATAGCCCAGACAGGGAAGTGCTTGCCTTGCTGAGTTTGAACCCCAGAACCCTTAAAACATAGGTGTGGCTGGGTGATGATGGTTCTTGCCTTCAAGTGCTCAGGAGGCAGAGGCAAGTGGATCTCTGAGTTTGAGGCCAGCTTGGTCTACAGAGAGAGTTCCAAGACAGCCAGGGCCACACAGAGAAACTATATATAGTTTCTTCATATATACATGAAGAGAGAGTTTCTCTCTTGAAAAACCATTCTAAAAAAGCTAGGTGTGATGTGTGCTTGTACTCCCAGCACTGTGGAAGCAGTGCAGATCCCTGGGCTCCCTGGCCAGCCTAGCCTACTTGGCAAGCTGCTCCACGCAGTGAAAGAATCTGCCTTTTAAAAACGTTTTAAAAGGTGGACACACATAAAGAACTACACACATTGTCCTCTGGCCTATACAACCCCCTGCCCCCTCATGTAGACACACAAACAGGCACACGTGTTTACACAGAAAGAAAAATAGTAAAAGTTCCTCATATGAAAGTAAGCATATGGAGACCAGCTTATATCTTTTTAAAAATTTTTTCAAGCATTTATTATTTTTATGTGTGTGGACATTTTGCCTGCATGTTTATGTGTTGACCATACCTGTGAAATGCACATTGGAGCCAAAAGAGGGTGTCGGGTTCCCCTGAAACTGGAGATACAGACAGTTGTGAGCTGCCTTGTGGGTGCTGAGCATTGAACCATGGTCCTCTGTGTAGACCCATATTTCTATATGGTGTGGCAGCCAGGTTCTGAAGTCATAGGCCCCACCCGAGGTGGTCACATAGCCCTGCAGACAGGCTGTCACTGCCCTAACAAAAGCTAGGAAGTACTGCTCCTTTCTCCTTTGTTAAAAATGTAGATCGCCTGGGGAGAGGTGCTTGCCAAAGCTGATGACTAAGTTGCAGGTATTTCCCTAGCCATGAGTCCCCAGAAAGAGAATTTTAATGAGGTATCCAACTTGGGTTACCTGGGGATGAAAGATGTTTTGTATGATAAATGCTGCGCGGTAGATCTTCAGGATGGGGAGAAGCCTGAGATGCCCTTCCGTGATGATGGTGTAAACTCTCTGGTTATTTTTCGCACCTCCATACCAGTCCAGAGAGGGAAAGATAGTTTCTATGTTGGGGCCTTCGGTCCCTGACACCTCTGGAAGGGCAGCAAGGTGCTATACCAGACTTTCTTTTGGGCCACCAACCAGTTCCCAAATCATGACACTGAGACATCTTACTAGTTATGAATGTTTGGCCGTATCTTAGGCTCGTTTCCGCTAGCTCTTATAACTTCACCTGTTTCTCTTCATGTGTGTTTTGCCTCAGGGTGTTTTACCTTTCTTCCCTCTGTATGTCCTACTCTGTCTAGCTGACTGGCAGCTACCTGGCTTCTGGTCCCGGATGTGTCCCTCTCTTTCTCCCTAGTTCTCTTCTTCCCTCACTCCCCAGCCTAGAGTCCTCATCCTATTTATTGTCTCTGCCTGCCAGTCCCGCCTCTCCTTTTCCTGCCTAGCTATTGGTCATCCAGCTTTTTAGACGAATCAGGTAGGTGCCTTAGGCAGGCAAGGTGAAACAAGAACACATGTTTACATAATTAAAGAAATGCAGCATAAACCAATGTAACACACCTTTACACAGTGAAAATAATATTCTACAACAAAGTGCTCTTAACTGCTGAGCCGACTCTCTAGCCCTGTTTATAGTTTGTGAACAATGTGACAGAATCACAGAGCTTAGTGAGCTGCCTGTAAGTCTAGCAGTCAGAAAACTGAGACTGGAGGATCAGGTTCATGGCCAGCCTCAGCTGCATATTAAATTCCAGGTCAGCCTCCCCTCCCGAATAAGCCCCACACAATTGCATGCATGGCTGGTAAGTCTAGCCCTACAGGATGCAGTGTTTCTTAACATTTCTTTTTGGAGTTGGAGAGTCAGCTCAGCTGTGAAGAGCACTGATTGCTCTTCCACAGGACCTAAGTTTGGTGCCCAGCACCCACATGATGGCTATATTTCTAGTTCCATGGGATTCCATGCCCCCTTCTGACTTCCACAGGCATAGACATACACACAGGCAAACATTCATTCATAAAATTTTTTAAATAAACAGAATTTGGTGTGGGAGAATTGTCTGTATTCTGTCAATCATATTTTAATAAAACGCTGATTGGCCAGGCAGGCAGTATAGGCGGGAAAGCCAGACAGGAAGTAGGGGTGGAGCAAAGAGACTGGGAGTATTCTGGAAGCAGAAGCTCTCTCGCCATTCCTGCGCAGACCACTGAAGAGGCAAGATGTAAGCTGCTCCAGCTGAGAAAGGTACTGAGCCATTATGGCTAACATAGATAATGATAATGGATTAATATAACTTACAAGGACTAATAAGAAGCCTGACCTAATGGGCCAATCAGTTTATAATCTTATGGAGTACTGTGACTCTTATGGGATTTCCCTAGTCTCTTTGGGATTTGCCGGTTGTGGGGTACTGGGCGGGACAGAAACCCCAACATGGCGGCCCCTCATGTTACAAGTATTCATTTTCATTATTTAAAAACTAGACTTATTTTTATTTATGTGTGCGTTCTGCCTGGGTGCATGTATGTCACATGTGTATGTATATGTGTGTACCACATGTATATGTATGTGTGCATGCACATCACGTATGTATGTGTGCATCACATGTGTATGTATATATGTGCACCACATGGATACGTATATATATGTACCACGTGTGTATGTGTATCACATGTGTAGTACATATGCATACCACCTGTGCATATATGTGTGTGACACGTGCATATATATGTATGTGTACCACATTTGCCTGGTATCTAAGGAGGTCAGAAGAGAGCTCTGATCCCCAAAACTGGAGTTACAGATAGTGATGAGCTGCCCTGTGGGTACTGATAACTGAACTTGGGCCCTCTGGAAGAGTAGCAAATGCTCTTAACTGATAAGCCATCTCTCCAGGCCCTAAAGGAATGTGAAAATATCTCCACATGGTTCTCACACACAAACAAGCCCAAGAGCTGCTGGGATAGCAACGGACAGAATAAAGCTTAAAGGCTCGGAGGACGATAGTGGAGAATTGACAAAATGTCCGATCCCTGTGCTGGTTGGTTTTGTCAACTGAACACCAGGTAGGGTCATCTGAGACAAGGAAACCTCAGCCAGGAATTGGCTCCATCAGACTGGCCTGTGAGCAAGTCTCTGGAGCAATTTCTTGATTGACAGAGGAGAGTGCAACCCACTGTGGCTGTAGCCACTTCTGGGCAGAAAGTTCTGGGTTCTACAAAAGAAAGCAGGCTGAAGGGCCTGGAGAGATGACTCAATGGTTAAGAGCACTGACTTTCACAGAAGTCCTGAGTTCAATTCCCAGCACCCACATGGTGGCTTACAACTATCTATAATGGGATTGGATTCCCTCTTCTAGTGTGCAGACGTACATGCAGGTGGAGTATTCATATACATAAAATACATGAAAAAAGTCCTAAGAAAGAAAGGAAGAAAGGAAGGAAGGAAGGAAGGAAGGAGGGAGGAGGGAGGGAGGGAGGGAGGGAAGGAAGAAAGAAAGGAAGGAAGGAAGGGAGGGAGGAAGGAAGGAAGGCAGGCAG